GAGTTTGTGTTTGTACATGATATGCCTTGATTCATTTTTTTCATATTTTCTTTCCCATCTTTCAAACCTCCTTCTCCTCCCTGTTCATAAAGCTGTTTTTATTTTATCCTTTTCTCATTTTTTTCCCTTCCTTCCTTTCCCTCTCTCCCCTCCCTAGTTCTCTTTTTTCTTTTGGATAGTTTCTTGCTATTTCACAATATCTATTATACATTTTGTTTTTCATTTACAATGTCAGTTTCTCATACCAGAAAGATAATGTTACACATGTGTGCCTTATTTATTTCCCTTCTGATTATGGCCTTAAGGTCCATCCATTTAGCTGTAAATGTCTTAATTGTGTCCTGTTTTATAGATGAGTAACACTACACTACATATAAAAAACCAGCATCATTTCCATCCATTCATCAGCTAATGGGTATTTGGGTTGTTTCCAAGATTTAGCTATTAAAAACTGCCACTATAAACATGGATGTGCATATATCTCTGAGATATGATGCTTTTTAATCTTCTGGAAAGATAGTCAGAAGGAAAATAGCTAGGGCAAATGAGACCTCTAATCCTATTTTTTTGAGAATCTCTGCACTGATTTTCACAGTGGTTGTACCAGTCTACACTCCCATCAAAAGTGGAAAAGGGCTTCTTTTTTCCTGACAGCCCCTCCAGCATTTGCTGTTGGTTGATTTCACGGAAGCCAGTCTTTCTGGAGGCAGATGGAATCTCAGTGTTGTTTTATTTTGCATTTCTTGAATGGCAAATAACATTCAGCATTTTTTCACACTTTTATTTACCATTTGTACTTCTGAGAAATCTGTATTCATTTTAGATGACCATTTTTGGGCTGACTCTTTGAATTTAGGGGATCTGATTTTTTTGTTGTTGTTTTTCTTTATATGTTCCAGGTATTAGTTCTTTGTCTGAAGAACAGCTGGCAAATTTCCGCCCACTCTATGAGCCATCCTTTCATTTTGTTGTTGGTTTCTCTTGCCGTGCAAGAAACTTAGATTAGCAAAAGCAGTTCAGCAACAAAGGCAAGTCAGAGGGCGTTGCACTCCCTGACTTGAAATAATACAGCTGAGCTACTGTGACAAAAAGGGCATGGTAGTGGCCAGACAACAGACCTGAGGATCAGTGGAGCAGACTAGAAGATGTAGAAACAATTCCAAATGCACTCAGATATCTGATTTTTGACAAAGGGGCCAAACCCATTTTCTGGAAGAAGAATAGCCTTTTTAATAAATGATGTTAGAGAAACTGGCTTTTCACATGCCAAAGACTAAAACTAGACCCATTTCTTTCACCATGCACTAAACTAAAATCAAAATGCGTCAAAGATCTAAATATTAAAACAGAACTCTAAGTCTGCTAGAAGATAGAACAGATAAGACTCTGGAAGGCAGAGAAATAGGCAAAAACCTTATGAACAAAACTCCCACAACGTAGGCATCATCACAAAGAATGGACCACTGGGATCTCATCTTATTAAAAAGCTTTTGCACAACAAAAGAAATCATACAAAACTTGATGACTAGCTCCCACAACTGTGTAAGTCGAATTCTTTTATCATTATCATTTGAATGAGCCTGCGTTTTCTGACTGAACCCTGAAATATTGAGTGTGAAGATGGTGAGAGCAAGGTTATGGCTTTTAAAAAAAAATTATTTGGTACAGGGTTTTGCTGCACAGCTTAGACTTGTAGTGTTCTTCCTGTCTCAGCCTTCCCAGGGCTGAGATTATAGGTGTGTGCTATCACGCCCAGTTTCAGTGGATGGCTCGATATGGGGCCAGCACAGCATGCAGTACTGGAGATTGAACCTGGGTCCTTGCACTTGCCAGGCAGGTGCTTAGACTGCCAAGCTATCTCCCTGGCCCATGGCTTTCTTATTTAGTATATTGTTTCTAGTACCTGGGAAATAGTAAAAGCTCAAAAAATATTTTTGAATAATGCAAGCGATTTTTTAAATGGCTTAATTGAGGAGACTTGGGGATTCCTTGGATATAGAACTGAGGGAGAGAAGGATAAAACTAGCAGATTTTCTCCTTTGGCAATAGGGCGAAGGTGATGCCTATACTGAGAGGGGGAATCCAGGAGAGAGAGCACTTGGGGTGTACTTTGCAGAAGGATCTACCCAGGAAAATACTGAGTTGAGTGAGATGCAAGATAACTTTTGTGCAGTAAACTTGTGTTCTTAGAGACTTAGAGATTTCATAACCTGTAGGACAGAGGCCAAGCTGAACTGGTGTGAAGGAAAGCTACTGTGAGGGCGAGAAGATAAAATGAGTTCAATTTTGAATGTGCTGGTTTGAGAAGACTGTGGGATATTCTTTTTCAGATACGCAGTAAACCAAAATTCAATTTGAATATCAGGTGAGGGGCTTGGGCTGAAGATTTAGTTTTGGGAACTGCCTATATAAAAGCAGGACTTGCAATAATAAGCAGAGTTAAAATAATTTAAATGTGATTCAGGGACCAGACTAGCTGTGAGGGACCAATATTTAAGTCTGGCAGCAGAAGAGATGCTTGCAAAGGACCTTGAAAGTAGTGATCAGTGACCTGACAGGTGAGCTGGGAGCAGGGGCTGCAAGCACAGGGCCATCTGTGGGGCACAGTGGGTGAGGAAGGCAGTGCGGAGTGAGAGGAGAGGATGGAGAGAGCCAAGCAAGTGTCGGAGTCGGAGAGTGGAGGCTGCTCGCTCTTGAGCTTAGCTGTGACTCCTGAGGGATTTAAGATGAGAGTAAGGGAGAGTGGGAACTGGACAGAGAATTGTTGGGATGGAACCACAGGGATTGCTATTTTAGAAGGAAGACATTCTTTTTCTTTTGGCAGAACCGAGGATTGAACTCAGGCCCTTGCACTTGCCAGGCAAGCGCTTATTCTACTGAGCCGTCTCCCTGGCCCTAGAAGGAAGATGTTCTGATGGTGATAACATTTGGGCATTGGTCTGGGAGTGGATGGCTGAGGTGGGGGTTGGAGTTTAAGGTGACTGGAGTTGAGATCAAAGAAGTGGAAGCCAGGATGTAGGAATATATTCACTTGAACACCATCACATTAAGTGAGATAAGTCAGGCACAGACGCTTAAATACCCATGACTTATCTTATATGAGAAACCCCAATTATAAATAAAGAGCAAAATAGATAGACAATAGGAAACAGGAAGACAGGTGTTATGGTTTGTGTCTAGTTGTTCCCCCAAAGCCTCGTGTAAGTTGTGGGGCAGATGCAGCTGGAGGAGCAATGGGTGGCTTGAGGGGCGGGGCTGGAGGACCAGGGCGGGGCCAGGGGCGGGGCCAGAGGACCAGGGCGGGGCTTGAGGGGCGGGGCCAGAGGACCAGGGCGGGGCCAGAGAGGCATGAGCCATTAAACTGGCTCGCCTGTGCTTTCTGAGAGATGTGAGGAGGGTCATCCTGGACGCGGCAGCACCCCAGCCTCTCCTCCAGTGTCTTGAAACCTCCAGGAACTGTGAGCTAAATAAATCTTTCCTTCCCTCATTTTGAGTGTCAGGTATTTGTCCCAGCAAGGAGAGAAGAGTAACTAATACAAGAGGTCTTTCTCAAATGGGAAGGGGATCAAGAGACGGAATGAGGGGCCAAGTGGAGAGAAAAGACATGAAAAAGAGTTAAGGTATGGTATGGTACACTCCACCAAGGAATGTAAACATTAGGTACTGCGGACATGGATTGATAAAAAACAGGGATGAGGGGCACTGTGTGGGCACAGATTGCCCAGCAGTGATGCTAACATGATAGCCCAAAGTTCACGATAGACATGAGTGAAATGATAAAATGACAAGGATAAAGAGCAGAGGTTGTGGTTCCTAGAAGATGTGAAGCTTAAAGGAATGTGGGGTGATTTATTCACCCAGCATTTAGTAGCAGGTCTCTACAGCAGTGACCTGGAGTATTGGTGAAATGCAATTAGGGGAATCATCCATGGCTGCAGTGGTGTGTGAGGCAAGGGAGAGAAAACATTTTCAGGTGAAAGGGTAGCATTTGGAGCAGTCTAGATTTCCCCACTCATCTTTAACTCTGCCTCATGATTTAACCTTCTGGGTGTGTTACCTGGAGTCTTACCAGAATCTTGGTGGGTATTGTGTCAGTCTCCTTTCCATTGCCGTGATCAGGCTAAGTGAGAAAAGATGTATTTTGAACGACATTTCCAGTCCCTGGTCTACTGGCTTCATTACCCTGGAACTGTGATGAGGCGGAACACTGTGGCCAAAGGACATCGTGGAGAGAGCTGCTCACCTCATGGAGCACAGGAAGAAGGGTGGGGGAGAGAGGAGGAGGGAGACAGAGAGAGAGAGAGAGAGAGAGAGAGAGAATATGACAGAATGTGCTGTGCTAGCAGGCTGTTGGGAGCCATGGAAGATGGGAAAGTGGTTAAATGTGTGAAAGCAGGACCAGGCCTCAGTGCCGGCAGCAGTCAGGCTACCTTTGTCCTGAGAGAAGCATCCTACCTGGTTAATGTTGGCTACTAGTCACTAGGCAACCTTGTGTCATGTGTTACGACCTTTGCAAAGGTATAAACATCCATACTGTTGCTCTGGGGGTCACTTTGCCAACTGGGCGGACGGGCCACCACCTCACCCAGCTCTTGTCGTCTTGTCTGTCTTTCCCTCCTTCCTGCCGCTATTCCTCCCCGAGTACAATGGATCACACTGAGAGACCAACAGATCCCTATAGCAGGTTTCCTTCTCGTTTCACTCTTGCTTCTTAGGGCACCCCAGCCTGCTGCATGGTGCCCCCCATATTCACGTCAGCCACTCTCCAACAGTTTCCCCACAGGTCAGTCTTCTCTGTAAACACCCCCAGAGGCACACCCAGAATTGTGGGTTAGCGATTTCCTATTTATTTCCCAATCCAATCAAGCTGACAAGATCAACCGTCACAAGTGTCAGTATCTTGTAACAGCTTCCCAGATCCCTATGTGCAGTCAGATTCCAAATCCACTGATTGGCAAGGATGCTTGCGTGGAAAGAGATTTCAATGCTGACGCTAATATATGGGTGCTGACCGACCACCTGAACTGGAGTGGCATGAGAGGGGCATCCCCAGGGTGCAGGGAGTTCTGATTTACACAGCTGGGGTTCTCGGCTGGCAGCAGGAAGAAAGTGCTCAAGAGCAAAGTCTCGAGACTGCCTGCAGCTGCGCTGCTGTGCAGGTGGCAGCTGCACAGGGGGATGCAGGCCCCGTGTCAGTTCCGGCTGGGCTGACTTCTAGAGCTCTGTCTTCAGACCTGCGTGCCACACTGCAGATGGACCATGAGGAACTGGGGCTTTTGCAAGAGGACAAACAGGATGAGGCTGAGATCAGGAAACCACATCGTGCTAGGAATAAAAGCAGGAACCAGAACCCGGGAGAAGGAAAAGCTTCGGGTGGCTCTCATAGCTGGCACTGAATAGCTCTAGGCCTGTCAGGCAGAACCATTAGATTTAATGTGTTTAGCTGCAGAACATGAACACAACATTAGAAATTCAAGAGATTTCATCTCAATTTAAAGGGGGACACTTCATTTAATTAGCTTCTATTACACCTTGAAAGTCTCCAGTCAAGCAGGGCATTAGGCTAGTGATTACCAAAGACTCGGTGATAGGATCTTTACATGGTTTTATCAAATTACAGCTCTACTCTGGGTAGAAGGATGATGATATTTAGGATCATCTAGTCTTAAGTTCTAGAACATTTTTTGATGTGAATATTAAAGGTAATTAAAACCCCAAGCGCCTTAGTGTATGTACCCATTATGTTGGGCAAGATAGGATCTAGTATTATACTATGGAAGTATAAGGAACAGCAGTGAACTATTCAAGCTGAATTTTTTAAAAAAATTAAGGACTTGCTTTCTTCAATATTTGCATTAATAGAGCTGTGTGTAGACCCTAAGAGTTTCATAACAGCCTGTTAGGTGGCCCTAGCAATGTTTCTATTTAAGTGAGTCAGTTTACAGGAGGACAAAGTTAAGGCAGAGAGAAATCTCTGAGGCTTGGGGAAGGTCACAGCGTAAGTCAGCATTGTGACCAAGAACACGCCCCATCCTCAGCTGACACACATGTGTCTCTTGCAGCGAGCCCAGAGTGAATGCGTAACACAAAAGCCCCATTCAAGTGGTGATCTAAGGCAGGTGACAATACAGGAAGAAGGTGGGCTGTGTTCCTTAGGGCCATAGGTACATACAAGCTTGTATTGTACTGCTGGACTTTGTTTTGTACCAGGGATTGAAACACCAAGCTATAGGCCAGCCCTTTTATTTTTTATTTATTATGTTTATTGGTACATTTTAAATATACAAGTGATCACATTCATCATAGAGAACTTGTACCTGTACATAATATAACTTGATTTTTTAAACCATTTCTCTACCCTCTTTTCCTGTCTTTATTTACAGAAGCTTTGTTTGTATATTTTCTTGTCATTTAAAAATTTTTTTCTTAATTTTTTTTTAATTTTTGGCAGAGCCGGGGATTGAATTCAGGCCCTTGCACTTGCCAGGGAAGCGCTTATTCCACTGAGCCATCTCCCCAGCCCCATCTTTCTTCTCATTTTTTTAAAAAAAATTTTCTCTGTCTTCCTGTCGCAGCCCCCATTAACTTTCCCATTTGAACACTTTCTTCGTATTCATACTGCATAGCGTACATTTTTGGTCCTTATTTACAGTTTCAGTTTCTCATGCCAGAGAAGCAATGTGGTATTTACACAATTGGGTCCAATTTATTTCACTTAATAGTATGCTCTCAAAATGCATCCATTTACCTAGAAATGTCTCAAGTTTATCCTTCTTTATGGCAGAGCAATATTCCATTGCATAAGAAAACACATCTTCTTTATCCATTTGTCAGTTGATGACATTTAGATAGCTTCTAAGCTTTAGCTATTACAAACTGTGCCGCTATAAACATGGTTGTGCTTATATCTCTGTGGTACAGCGGTTTAAGCTTTGGGTGACGATTCCAAGAAGAGGATTACCACAGTCAAATGGGACCTCTAATCCTAGTCAGTCAGTCTGTCTGTCTGTCTGTCTGTCTGTCTCTCCCTCCCTCCTTCCCTCCCCCCCCCCCTCCTCCTCTCTCCCCCCTCTCTCTCTTTTTCTCTCCCCCTCTTCTTTGTACAGGGATTGAATTCAGAACCTTGCAGTTTGCCGGGCAGGTGCTTAAGCCACTGAGCTATCTTCCTGGCTCTAATCCTAGTTTTTTGAGGAATCTCCACACTGATTGCCACAGGGTTGCACCAGTCTACACTCCCACCAATAGCAGAGAAGGGTTCTTTTTGCCCCACAGCCTCTCCAGCATTCGTTGTTGGTTGACATCTTTACAATAGCCATCCTTTCTGGGGTGAGATGGAATCTTAGCATTGCTTTAATTTGCATCTCTCAAATGACCATGAGGTTGAACAGTTTTCCATATATTTATTTGCCTTTGTATTTCTTCATCTGAAAAGCGTGTATCCATCCCAGATGTCCATTTTTAGATGGAGCCTTTAAATTGGGAGGGAGGAGGTCTAAATTTTTAGATTCTTTACATGTTCCAGACATGTCCTTTGTCTGGGGGACAACTGGCTAAATTTTTTTCCAACTCTTCAGGTTGTCTTTGCATTCTGTTGATTTCCTTTGCTGTACAAAAGCTTGCTAATAGGATCAGATCTCAGTTGTTGATTCTTCGTAATAGTTACTGTTTGATCAGGGTTTTGTTCATAAAGTTTTTGCCTATACTAATGTCTTCAAGAGTTCTATCTATTCTGTCTTTCAGCAGATTTAGAGTTTCTGTTTTAATATGTAGGTCTTTGATTCATTTTGATTTTAGTTTAGTACATGGGGAAAGACATAGGTCTAGTTATAATCTTTGGCATGTGGAAAGCCAATTTTTCCAGCACTATTTACTTAAAAGGCTTTCTGCCAGTGAAAGTATTTGGAGCCTTTGCCGAAGATAAGGTAATTAGGTATGTCTGAAGTTGTTTCAGCATCTTCTAATCTCTTCAGTAGATCCTAGGGTCTGGTTGGTTGGTTGGTTAGTTGATTGGCTGCTTTCTTTCTTTATTTCATCAATTTTTTTTTAAAGCAGCTTTTAGTACAATTTCAAGTCAGGAATAGTGGTGCCCCTGCCTGGCCTTTGTTGTCCAGAATTACTTTTGCTATTCTAGGTCTCTTCTGCTCCAAATGAATTTTAGGGTTGTTTTTTCTAATTCTATGAGATATGCTGTTGAACATCTCAACAGGATTGCACTAAACCTGTATAACAACTTTGGGAGTGCAGTCATTTTCACCATATTGGTGCTTCCTACCAAAGAGCAAGGGATAGCTTTCCATTTTGTGATATACTTTCAATCTCATTTTTCAAAGCACTATAGTTTTCTTTTTTCTTCCTTCTTTTTTGTGGTACTGGGGATTGAACTCAGGACCTTGCACTTGCCAGGCAAGTGCTTATTCTACTGAGATATCTCCCCAACCCCTTATAGTTTTCAATATAGAGCTATTTTACTTTCTTCATAGACTGATTCCTAGTTATTTCATTTTTTTGGGATGCTATTGTGAAGGATGGGATTCCCCTAATTTCTCTCTCAGTGAATTTCTTATTCATATACAGGAAGGCTATTTATTCTTCAGTGTTGACTTTGTACACTACTGAATTTGATTATTGAATCTGTAAGTCTTGTGGTGGTGTTCTTAGGGTCTTCTATGTAGAATATCGTATCGTCTGTAAATGATTATACTTTATATTGTTTCTTTCCTATCCTTTTTATTTCTTTCTCATCTAATTGCTCTGGCTAATATTTCTAGCACTGTACTGAATAGGAGTTGTAACAGTAGACCATCTGGTTGTGCTGTATAGCAAAAGGGGCAAACACAAGGAGGCAGAGCCACTGTGCCAGCGAGCACTGGAGATTTGAGAGAAGGTCCTGGTCACTGATCACCCAGATGTAGCAAAGCAGCGAAACATCTTGGTCCTGTTGTGCTAAAACCAGGGCAAGTATGAGGTGGTGGAATGCTATTACCAGCGGGCACTGGCCATCTATGAGGGGCAGTTGGGGCCAGACAACCCGAATGTGGCTCAGACCAAGAGTAATCTGGCTTCCTGTTACCTGAAGCAGGGCAAGTATGCGGAGGTGGAGACCCTGTCCAAGGACATCCTGACCTGAGCACATGTGAGGAGTTTGGGTCTGTGGATGATGACCACAAGCCCATCTGGATGCATGCAGAGGAGTGGGCAGAAATGAGCTGGAGTTGGCAACATGAAGATGCTGCACCCTATACTGAGTACAGAGGCTGGTACAAGGCTTACAAAGTGAGCAGCTCCACGGCGAATACCACCCTGAGAAACCTTGGAGCTCTGTATAGGTGCCAGGGAAAGCTGGAGGCAGCTGAGACCCTGGAGGAGTGTGCCCTGCGTTCCCAGAAGCAGGGCACAGACCCTATCAGCCAAACCAAGGTAGCAGAGTTGCCTGGGGAAGGAGATGGGAAAAGGACTTCCCAGAGGGGCCTGGGGACAGCGTGAAATTTGATGGCGGTGACGAGGCTGCTGTGGCTGTGGAGTGGTCAGGGGATGGCAGTGGGACTCTGCAGAGGAACAACTCTCTGGGCAAGATCTGAGATGTGCTCTGCAGAAGCAGTGAGCTCCTGGTGCACAAGTTCCAGGGGACTGAGCCTCGGTCCTCTAGAAGCAACATGAAGCAGGCAGCCTTCTTGAACTACCTGAAGCAACCCAGTGCTGCACCCCTCCAGGTATCTCAGGGCCTCAGTGCCAGCACCATGGACCTTTCTTCAAGCAGCTGACATCGACCTAGTGCCCAGGGCTGCTGCTGCCTCACAGCCCCACAGCATTCCCATTGCTCAGACTCTCCACCGCAAGGGGGGACAGTAACCCGAAGCCTGCTCCTGCCTGCAGGGTATTGGCCCCTCCTCAGGAACCCTCTTAGGAAGGACCCTCAGAACACCCCACCCTGGGGTCCTGTAGTAACTCACTCAGAGACCTCCACAGTAGGCAAGATGCTGCTGGCCTTGCTGCAGGAGGGTTTGTGGCCAGCCATGCCACCTCTCTTGGCTATCCTGTCTATCCTTCCCCCTCTCCTTGGCTGTCTCACTTCAGGTCCACGTATTTTACATTTCTTAAATAAAAGAATCAGGTAAAAAAAAAAAACACAAAACAAAAAAAAATTGAAGAGTGGATAAAGAAGATGTGATATTTTTACACAATGGAGTATTATACAGCTATAAAACAGGATAAATTTGGATCTGTTGTTGGTAAATGGATGCAACTAGAGAACATACACTTAAGTGAAATAAATCAGACCTGCATGTGCAAACATTGTCTTGTCTCCTTAGTGTGAGAATCTAAAAGAGAATATGGAATCGGAAGGATACAATTGCCCTTTTCCTGGGGAAAGGAAATGAACTTATTCAAAAAGAAAGAGTTACTGAGTTGAGAAGGACAGAAGAGAGAGAGATGGAGGACAGAGATGTCTAGGTATGTAAACAGAATTGTTTGGACAACTGTACTGCGGATTTCTGCTGGTCTGTGGAAAGGCACAAATAATGCTTAATTTCTTTTGTCTCCTTTTTTTAATTGTTTCTCCTCTTAATTATTTATATATTTCTTTTTTTATTTCTTCTTCCAATTTTTCATGCATATATCTGGTAATAGCAATAACTTGGAAGACAACACTGTGCTGTACAACAAACCCTGTGAAATTCATATTTACTTTGTTAAGTGAAATTCTGTATCACTTGTTTTTTTTTTCATATTAAGTATCATGGACAAATTTTATTACATGTGAATGATATATACAATAAAAACATGTTCTTTGCATTCGGAAGTTATAGCTCAGTGTCATTATACTGTGGCTTTCTTTTTTATTTTTTTATTTTATTTATTTTATTTATTTATTTATTTATTTATTTTTTTATTTTTCAACAAATAATACACTGCACATATTCTTCTTAGTGGTTAATTGCTGTACAAGATGCAGACTTGTGATCCTATTTACAAACACCATTAGAACAAATCATTCTATTTCTGTATCACTTGTAATTGTTATGTTTTAATACTATTTTGTACTCTCTTTATAAAATAAAAAGTTCAGGATTTCATGGTAGTCCACTTTGTATGATGTTGCCTCTTTGTTTCTCATAAATCACTCATCAGATTGAGATAAAGACCATTTATTCCCATGATCTGTAGGTTTTTATTATGAATGGATATTGAACTTTGTCAAATACTTTTTCTGCAACTATTGAGATGATCATGTGATTCTTGTCTTTGTTTTTATTGATATTATGTATTACATTTGTTTATTTGTATATGTTGAGCCATCCCTGCATCCCTGGGTAAATTCTACTTGGTCATGGCACATAATTTTCATGTTGATTCGTTGCATTCTATTTGCAAGTATCTTATTGAGGCTTTTTGTCTCTATGTTCATTAGGGAGATTGGCCTGTAGTTCCCTCTTTCGTTTCAGTATCAGAGTAATGCTTGCTTCCAGGAATGGATTTGGGACTACTGCTTTTGTTTTAGTTTCACTAAAGAGTTTGATAAGTAACAGCATTAAGTCTTCTTCAAATTTCATGTAGAATTCAGCAATGAGCCCATCAGGGCCTGGTCTTTTCTTTGTTGGCAGGCAAAGAATTAATTACATCTAAAACTTCATTGACTAATACTGGTTTACTTAAAATTTTTATATTTCCTTGACTCAACTTTGGTAATTCGTATGTATCTGTGAATCTGTACATTTCTAACGTGTTTAGCATTTTATTAGAATACTGGTTTTCAAAGTAGGTATTGATAACCTCCTGGATTTCTGTACGATCTGTTGCGATTTCATCCTTTTCATTCCTAATTGCATGGCTTTGAGTTTTTTCTTTCCTTTTGTTCAGTAAGTTTGGCTAAGAGCTTGACATTTTTATTTTATCTTTCAAGGAACCTGATGTTGGGCGCCCTCCCGTCCAGCAGGAAAGCACTCAACACGATTTGTGCGGCGGAAAGGCTTTAATCGTTCTCCTGAGTGATGTGCCCCGAGAGAGCACAGTTCCTCTCTCCGTCCCTCTTCCTGTCTCTGACCCTCCGCGTCGCGGAGCGTTTCTTTTATATCCTCACACTGTCCAATCGAGGGTTGATACATGTTACAGCGCCATTGGTTACAATCTCAGGGAAGGTATCTTACATCATTATAGGCGGGTGTATAGCGACTGGGGAAGCAGGAAATGAGCGCCATCTTGGCACACTCGGTGGGAGGGGTAATCTAGCGCAGGCTTCAAGGGCTGCAGCAGGCCTCACCCAATGGTCTCTAGGGATTTGGTTCTGATGCCGCGATTCGCGGTATAGGCTCTCTATACCTGTTTGGTTCAGTGATTCTTTGTGTTGTATTCTTAGTCTCCAATGCATTAATTTCTGGTCTCATCTTTATAATTTCCTCCCATACATGAGTTTTGAGCTTGACTTGCTCTTTTTTTTTTTTTTTTTTTTAGAAGCTTAAAGTTGAACATTAAGTTACATATTTGAGCTCCCTCTGTTCTGATATGGGAATTTGCCACTATTATTTCCCTCATGAGACTGTTTTCACTGCATCCTATAAATTCTGATATGTTGTATTGGTATTATCATTTAATTGTTGAAAATGTCTAATTTATACTTTTAGGTTTTATTTATATTTTTTAGACAGGGTCTTGCTATGTCAGGCCTGGCTGTAAACTCACAGCAATTCTCCTGCCTCTGTGTTTCAAGGGCTGGCATAAAAGGATGCACCACTTCTCAGTCTATAATTTTTTTCTTTAATTTCATGTGACTTGTCATGGTTTGGGTTTTTTGCAAGGTCAACAATATAGTACAGGACACATTTTAAAATAGTACTTTATAATGAATCACCCAAGACTCACATAGTACAAGTGCAGAAAATCTATCCACACACTAAATATTAATGAATCCAGCTGAGGGCCTAGAGCTCATAACAATGCCTCTGACCAGTCCAACTGGAGGTATAGAGCCCACAATAAAGTCACATGCCATCCTGCTTCATGGATCTGTGTTGGTAGATTTTTCCCTTTTTGGCAGGACTGGGGATTGAACTCAGGCCCTTCCACTTGCCAGGCAAGTGCTTATTCTACTGAGCCATCTCCCTGGCCCCAGGATCTGTGCTGGAAAGGCCCAAAGGTCAGTGGTGGAAGCTAGGAAGTCTATGCCAGTGGGATGAAGGATCTGTGTTAGCAAGCTGAGGGATCTGAGCTAGAGCTAGGAAGCAACACTCAAGGGAAGCACCAGAGCTCCCCAAAGTACCACAGCCATCCTCAGCAACAGCGAGGTCCTGAGATCCTCTAACATTGAGGCAAGCTGAGTTCCCATCAGGAAAGCCAACGTGACAAGCTTCATGAGGCTGATCAGTGCACCATCTTCCCCTCTGGAGCCAGGGATCGACGCTCAAGATGAGGACCCACACTTCTTCAAAGTTCATTGGGAAATCAGCATGACCAGGTCCCCCAGCAAAACAGTCCAAGAGAACTAGCAGCTTCCAAAAGCTCCAACAGCTTCTCCAAATAGCAGCCCTATCAGTGTTTCAGCAGCTTCTCCTGTTCTGCCTTTATGCTGCTGGCCACAATCCTCAGGTGGGGCTTCTACATCCAGCACTGACTACCTGTTAAAAATCCACTACATGACCCATTGGTTATTCAGGAAGGTATTATTTAATTTCCATGTGTTTATGAAGATCTTGTGATTTTTTTTGCTGTTTCTTCCCAGTTTCATTGCACTATGGTTTGATAATATGCACAGAATAGTTTCAAGTCCTTTGCATTTACATAAGCATGTTCTGTGAGCTAGCATATAGTCTAATTTGGAGAATGTCTTGTGTACAGTTGAGCAGAATGTGTATTCTGATATTTTGTGGTCAAATACTCTGTAGACATTTACTAAGTCTATTTGTTCTAAAGTTTGATTCAGTTCTTATACTTCACTGTTGATTTTTTGTCTAGTTGGTTTATCTATTTGTGACAGTGGAGTTTTGAAATCTTTTATTATGGGGCTGGGAAGATAACTCAGTAGAATAAGTGCCTGCTGGGCAAGCACAAGGTCCTGAGTTCAATCCCCGGTTCAAAAGAAAAAAAATCCTTCATTACAATTGTATTAGTGTTTGATTTTTCATATCTGTTATACTAGTTTTATGTAGTTGAGTACACTGGTATTTGATGCATATATATTTATGATTGTTATCTCTTCCTCTAGCATTTCCCCCTCTGCAAGGATTCTATGACCTTGCTTGTCTCTCTTAATCAATCTTGGCTTGAAATCTACTTTATCTGCAAATAGAATAGTGATCTCTGTTTTTTTTAAAAATTTTTTTGTATTTTCTGGAAGGGTCTACAGGGTGTTCAGGGTCTCACTACTAGATTGGACTCGTAGAGATCTGCCTGTTTACAGCCTCCTAAGAGCTGGGATTACAGGTGTGCGCCACCATGCCCAGTACCAATTGCCATCTCAATGTGCCCCAGGGGCAGGGCTGGCATGGCAGGCTGGGGGATCAACCCTGGCCCCTGTGCCTGCTTGCAGGCATATTAATCTGCTGAGCTATGTGGCCAGCCTTTCTTTCTTTTTTCTTTTCTTTTCTTCTTCTTCTTTTTTTTTTTTTTAACAGGTTCCTGTTTCATGGAGTATCACTTTCCATCCTTTAATTTTCTTGCCACCTTCAGCCATGTTAACTAGATGTGTGGCTATATAACAAAATCTAGAGTAAACCAGAAAATTATATGTAGTAAACAAGCCTTCAAAATGGCAATTTTATCCCTGGGG